CGTGTGCTCTTCCGATCTATGCCATTCCTTCGCGTTTGCTTGGGGGACACACGATGTGCTGTCTCGGTGACAATTTTAATAGGACGCTCTGTTGCTTGTATATGACAGGATATTTTCAAATCTTTAATTGCAGCATCTGCAAACATATATTCTCGGATTTCATTGTCTGACATTGATCGCGAAAAAGAGGATTCGGTCAAATTTATGTTTTCACCGTACGGTCACCGTATAAACTTCGATTGCAACGACTATATAGACATAATCGAGTGAGAAAACGTAAATTTGACCGAACCTGCTTTTTCGCGATCAATATCAGACAATGAGGATATATGTTCGCAGATGCTGCAATTAAAGATTTGAAAATATCCTCATATACAAGCAACGGAGCGTCACATTAAAATTGTCACCAAGACAGCACATCGTGTGTCCCCCAAGCAAACGCGAAGGAATGGCATTTACTATGATCGAATCTCGGCTTAAAAGGCCGAGAACAAAAAAAGATTTTTACCAATAACAAATTATTTTTATGAAACAATTGTTATGTACCATAATAAACCGATGATTAATTGAAATAAAATAAAAATTTTAAAAATATTTTTTATTTTTTAGAGGTAGATATTCATTAAAAAATTTCAGCTTATAACCAAAATTTATCATTTTTTATGCCTTTTCCGAAAATACATGCACAACAGGGGATAAGAAATCGCTCCACCCTAATGTATATATATATTAATAAATTAGTAGTTATCAATCGCTTATTACTTCTCAATAATGTCGGTTTCTATGCTCGAGATGCATGCAATAATTTGAATAATTAATAACTGACAAGGTATTAATTTGGTATTCCACACTCAACGTGAAGCGCACTGATTGCTTTAAAAGCATGATCAATGCGATAAGTTCTGTTAGAACTTATTAGTTAAATGCGTATTAGTTAAATAGTTAAAAGTTATTGATTACCAAACATGCGCCCTAATCCGTGCACGCAGGAGGGGGAAAGGAAGAAATAGATAAGATAGAGAAAGAGAGAGAAAGAGAGAGAGAGAGAGAGAGAGAGAGAGAGAGGGTGTATGGGAAAGACAATAAAAGGATTCTAAAATGATGTTGTATTTTACAGGATAATAGCGTACCTCGATAAAAGACATCACGATTTGACGATGCGAAGATCGTTGATGTCGCACTTCGATGACTTGTTTTAAATCGTAATTGGAATTCTATAAATCTCTAGTTTATCGAAAAATACATCCGGGAGAAAATATCTACTAACGCGTTTTGTATTACTTATTCTAATTTCAATTCTATATCAGTAAAAAAATAATAATTCTTTTCCCTTAATGTTTCATATAAATCGAGTATGCTTAGATTTAGTAAGCAGTTTTCACAAGCTGTAGCTGCTTAAAAATAAAGTAAGAATCTTATTTATCATCGATTATTTTTAAGCTATCCTTCAAAGAGGATGTTAGTTTTGACTGTTGGTCGACTAACATGAAAAAGTACTGATATGTACAAATTATATATCATATTATATTATATAATATTATATTATATATTATATTCTAATTGGTATTCACGGATCCAATCCGAACATTTTTATCAATTACGTGTCAAATTTCCAGATCGTTGTCAAAAATTATAACTTATAACAAATGTAAAAAGTAAAAAATTATTGCTTATAACAAATGTTTTTCACAACTTTATATAATTTATTCTTCGTTATTATATATTTATATAATATATTAAATTTTGACTTTCAAAATTAAAAAAGAATTGTTTAATTTACGTTAACTTTTAACAAAGATACATTAATTTGATGTTTTGTCGGACACTGGATCCACGGATGCCAGTTAAGAAAATTTCAGATCAAATACTTAATATAATACAATTAGAGTTAAAAGGCTTAAGCGAAATCCAGTACGCATCGCTATCTTAGGGAAATATGGGAGAAATCGTAATCAGAACAACAATACTATCATTTATAGATAAAAAATTGTTAAGTAAGAAATCAAGATATCGGAAATTAATTAAGCAACAAGGACTTAAACACATATAATTTGATAAGCATGTTAGTCAAAGTCGTCAAAGTCAAATAGATTTTTATTGTCTTTAATCACGATTTCTTCCATGTTTCCGATGTTTCCCCAAGATAAGCAATACACCATTCAACTTCGCTTAAGTGGCCCTTTAATATAATTTGTACATATCAAACTTCTTCATATTAGCCAAAATTTAATATCCTCCTTATTATGTACATACAAGAGAATACACAAGAAAAGTATAACCCTCTATATAAACCTCTAATTTCTTCTTGCCAATATAAAACTACTTTAATCGATAAAGTAGATTTTTACAAATATATCTTTAAAAATAAATGCTTTAAATGACATTCTAGAATATTTTCAAAGTTTTCACTTGTTTAAAGTACTCGTATCATTAGATATATAAAATCCGTTTATGTCTATTTTCAACTTGATAAGCCTGCGCTTCATCAAATTGAAATGGTTTCATCAAATATGAGTTACTAGAATTCACATTTGCACATATTTCCACATTTCTAACAAACGTAATGTTATTCGAAATGTGACTAATACATATATGTATAAAAAACAATAATCATAAATAGGGTAGGCAATTAGAGTCATTAACGCAGTACTTTGTGCGTGGATAATTTAATCTTCTCATAAACTATTCTTCCAAAACATTCTTCAATATCGTACGTTTTAGCATTCAGGTCTTCCTCAGCGATAATTTCAAAAATCTCTTAAAAACATTATTCCGCTAATCAACATCGATCAATTCCGCATGTGAATCCAAAAGCATATACCAACAAATGTTCCGTACTGTGTGAAATGCGCTTCCAATTTCAAGATTAAAAGACTTGTCATCACTGTCCGGAACAAGTTAAGTCCGTATGTAACAAAATTGTGCACAGAAGAAATTAGTAATAATCGTATTGAAGATACAACTTGACGTATGTAATATCGCGTATAGAATGGAAACGTACGATATTGAAGAATGTATTGGAAGAATAGTTTATGAGAAGATTAAATTATCCACGCACCAAGTATTGTGTTAATGACTCTAATTGCCTACCCTATTTATGATTATTGTTTTTTAAAACCAAGAATCTTATTTGTTGTATATTAATTTTTAATATATGCAAATATCGCTGATTGAAAATCCATGTTAAGAAATCTTTTCTTATAAAAACCCTTATCGTTGGTATATTGCCTAACTTTGCAGCAATTATAGTAAATTATAAATTATTCAATCTTCGTAGTATTAGAATAGAACGTTGTTTGGTGTCTCATCCATCTCCTCTCTCCTCATGCGAATCATCGATTGCAGCCAGATTTGAATGATTCGCAATGTTATCAGGAGAGAGAGAGAGAGAGAGAGAGAGAGAGAGAAACAATTCGTAAATCCGAAAATCGGCAAAAACCAATGAGTACATACCCGTTTGCGAATGCGGAGATTCTATTCCACGGTGTCCGTCTTCCGGCCTGAGGACCGATGAAAATGTCGGTGCACTCGAAACCGTGACTGTCGGCGGTTTCTCAGTCTTATCGTTTCTTATTAGTTGATGAACCGGCGGTGGACCTACGCAAGGAAAGAATATGTGGATCGACATGGATCGACTTCCAGGTGACAAAGCGAAGATTTGAGATATTTTATGTCAATCGTAAAACAAAACGCAATCGTATATAGATTAAGGTAATGCTAGCAGGTCGGCCAAATTTGCATGATTGATAAAATAATCTGTTCAATTTCAGTGGTATCT